GAATAAAGTTGCTATAAACATTTGTGTGCAGGTTTTTGTGTGGACATAGATTTTGAACTTATTTGGGTAAATGCCCAGGGGTGCTATTGCTGGATAATATGGTAAAAGTATAATTGATTTTGTAAGAAACTGCCTTCCAAAGTGACCGTGCCATTTTGCATTCTCACCAGCATGAATGAGAGTTCCTGTTGCTCCATATTGTCAGCATTTGCTGTTTTCAGTGTTTTGGATGTTAGCCATTCTAATAGGTGTGTAGAGGTCCTTATTGTTCTAATTTGTGATTTACTAATGACATATAATGAGCATATTTCCATCTGCTTGTTATCCATCTGTAGATCTTTGGTGAGGTGTCCAGATCTTTGCCCTTTTAATTGAGTTTTCATTTTATTGAATTTTAAGAGTTCTATGTATATTTTGATACAAGTCCTTTGATAAGATATGTGTTTTGCGAGTATTTCCTCTCAGTCTGATGTTCGTCTTTCATTCTTATAATAGAATGAAAAGACTTCTTTCTTTTATAGAGCAGAAATTTTCAATTTTATTAAAGTCCAATTTATCAGCTTTTTCTTTCATGCATCTTGCTTTTGGTGATGTATCTAAAAATTCACCGCCAACTCCAAGATCACTTAGATTCTCTCCTATGTTATCTTCTAAAAGTTTTATAGTTTTGCATTTTACCTTTAGATCTATGATCACTTTGAGTTAGTTTTTGTGAAAGATACAAAGTTAGTGTCTAGATTCTTTTTTTCTGGCATCATTAGGCCACTTTTTTATCCTTTTTTAGCACATTTGAGATTTTCTTTCTAAGATCAGAGCCTCAAATATGTTATCCCTATTAATGTAATCTTTTAATTATGGTCTGTTAAAATCTTTTTGAATTTTGGTTCTTTCCTTCATGTACCTATTCATATTTATTTTTTGCAAATATTTATTGAGTGCCTACTGTGAGCTAAGCCCTGTACTGTGTTTTGGGGGTACATTCTGAATGAAACAAACTCCCTATCTGTCCTTAAAGGCTTCTTTTTGAGGTTTGAAAGAAAGGTAAGCAGACAAGAAACAAATATACAAATAAATGATTTGTCAGATGATGATGAGTGCTGAGAAGAAAGATTAAGCTGGTTAGGGAGACAAAGGGTAAGGAGGGGTGTTATTTCAGTGCAGATGGTCAAGGAAGGCTGGTCTGATGAGATCAACAGACACCTAAAGGAAATGAGGGAGCATGTAGATGCTTGAGGAATGAGAATCCAAGCCGAAGATACTGCGTGTTCAAAGGTCCCGGGGAGGGAGTGTACTTGGCATGTTTGAGGGATAGTAAGGAGGCCAGTGTTGTTGGAGTGGAATAAGGAAAGGGGCAGAATGAGAGAGGATGAGGTTGGAGAAGGAGGGAGAGGCAAGATGGTCGTGTGTATCTTTTACATATCCAGTAAATTTCCTTTCATCTCCATTGCTGATAAAGTGATGTATACGAAAATGCTGCAGGGGGAGCCCTAATGAAATGTTGCTGGGAATATTCCAGCACTTAGGCCTCATCCCTCTGAGCATCTCACTTTGGGCATAGACATTTGATTGGTAGCTCATCCACTTAATTGTATTCTAGCATATTGTTTCCACACTTCTTCACCTGTCCACAGGGATATCTTTAAATAATTTGCCAGAATCCTTGCTGAAGATCAGATACAATGTGTCTGTCTAATTTCCAAGATCTGATGCAGTAATCTGTCAAAGAATGAAATGAGGTTAGTCTGAAATGACTTGGTCTTATCGAGAACCAGGCCGATTCTTAATGATCACCTATTTCTAGGTGGTCACAAATCATCCTTTTAATCAGGGTTTATGTATATTCTTTTCAAAAAATCAAATATTTGCAAATGTATAATTATAAAGCTAGTTATTTCATTTTTAGAATAAAATAGAACTATTTATCATAAAATGGTCGTATTTTAGGGAGACATTCTTTTTCCTCTGTGTTAACTGTGAATTAATGTCATATTAGAACTTACTGGCTCAGATGCTGGGGTCTTTTCTCATACCAGCTGGGTGTCCAACAGCTCAATTCAGTTCTGACACCAACTCCTGAAGTTAGTGCAGACTCCATGGGTTAAGCGCTCAGTCTCACAAGACTGCCCTCACCTCTGGCACCAGGCGCAAGTCCTGGGGGGATGGTCACCTGTTCTTCCAACCAACCAGCTATAAATCGAGGGTTCCCCGACCCCCTCCTCAGGTTTGATAATTTGCAAGAATGACTCAAAGTTAGGAAAACACTTCACTTATATTTACTGGTTTATTATAAAGGATACAACTCAGGAACAGCCAAATGGAAAGATGTGTAGGGCAAGGTACAAGGGC